TAAATGGGTAATGGGCATTAAGGAGGGCATTTGCTGGGATGAGCACCTGGTATTATATGTAAGTGATGAAATTAACACTACACTGTATGTTAATTAACTTTAAATAAATAAATTTTTTAAAAATTAAAAATTTTAAAAAGCCAAAATAAACTATTGGGACTATGTCAAAATAAAAGATTTCTGCACAATGAAGAAAGCAATCCACAAAACTAAAAGGCAACCTACTGAAAAGCAGAAGATATTTGCCAATGACATATCTGATAAAGATTAATATCTGAAATATATAAAGAACTTATACAGCTCAATACCCAAAAAACAAAAAATCCAACTAAAAAATGGGCAGAAGACATGAATAGACATTTCTCCAAAGAAGACAAACAGATGGCCAACAGACACATGAAAAGATGCTCAACGTCACTCATCAGGGAAATGCAAATCAAAGCTGCAATGAGATACCACCTCACACCTGTCAGAATAGCTGAAATGAACAACACAAGAAACAAAAGATGTTGATAAGGATGTGGAGAAAATAGAGTCCTCTTGCACTGTTGGTGGGAATGCAAACTGGTGCAGCCACTGTGGAAAACAATATGGGGGTTCCTCAAAAAGTTAAAAACAGAACTAGTCTACAATCCAGTAGTCGCACTACTGGGTATATTTACACAATAAAATACAAAAACACTAATTCAAAAGGATAAATGCACCCCTATGTTTATTGCAGCATTATTTACAATAGCCAAACTATAGAAACAGCCCAAGTATCCATGGATAGGTGTATGGATAAAGAAGGTGTGTGGGTGTATATGTATTTACTGCAGCATTATTTACAACAGCCAAACTACAGAAACAGCCCAATTGTCCAAGAATAGGTGAATGGATAAAAAAGGTGCGTGTGTGTGTGTGTTTATTATTTAGCCATAAAAAAAGGGGGAATCTTGCCATTTGCAACAACATGGATAGAGCTAGAGGGTATAATGCTAAGTGAAATAAATCAGCCAGAGAAAGACAAATAACATATGATCTCACGCATATGTAGAATTTAAGAAATAAAACAAATGAGCATAGGGGGAAAAAGAGAGTGAGACAAACCAAGAAACAGACTCTTAACTATAGAGAACTGATGGTTACCTCAGGGAAGGTAGACGGGGGATGCGGCAAATAGGGGATGGGGATTAAAGAGTACACTAGAAAAAAAATCCATTTCCTAGCAAACCCGTATACTGACTGGTATTTTGTACATATTCTTATTAAACCTCTAGAAATGGGTAAGAGAGACTAGAAAACCTTAGAACTCTGACATATATCTGAAAAGATGATAAACTCATTCTGAAACAAAATCCTTTCTGGATAACTGAGCATACCCAACTCCCAGAGGCACCTGAGAGTTTTCAGGGAAAAATTCCAGTTCTTTAGGTTTAAGACACACAGATAAACTGAAGAAAAAAGATAAGCAGTACATTAAATCTAACACACAGACTGAACCTGAAATGGAATGAGACAGGGAAAAAAGTGACATAAGCAAGAATATGGAAGCACTGGGAGAGAAACTATCAGGACTGATCAGATTTTACCTGTGTCCTGACATCAAACTAAGGAATATCCTGGCTGCACACCTGAAGAGAATGAAAGATTATAAAGTTGGGGCAAGAAAATTCTTGATGGTCAACATGAAGATTCTGTGTCTGGAACTGAGATATATTTTTTTTAAATTACATGTTTTAATTGTGTTTTTCTATTATCAAAGAGAAAGCTAGTCTTATCAATACTGCATTATAATGGACTGAGCATATTATTTTTAGTCTCTACTACGGAGAGGTAAAAGCCTCTATAATCCAATCCAAATGAATAACATAGCCAGTAAAGCTAATGTTGATTTTTTCTTCAAAGTTTTAATTAAAATACAATAGATATAATGTGATAAGTTTTATCAATCTATTAAAACATGAGTTTCCTAGGCATTAGAAATGAAAATTTGAATTGAAACTATCTACATTTCTATAAAGGACATACTAAACATCAAAATCAAGCTTTTAACCACCCTTTGCCAAGAATATTTGCCTTCTCTAATACTTTACTAGTAAATAGCTTTGCCACTATTTTGCTTTGGGCTATATTGTGTAAGTAAGGCTGAGCTACTTGATATTAAATAAAAGATATTCAGACTGGTTTAAAATTGCAGTCTCTCTACAGCATTAAGAGGAGAATCCTTTTAAAGGCCTTATTAAATTCTCAAA